TGCCCAGGGCTCCTCCCCGTCCCATGTTCCTCTGCGGGAATCTGAGCCCTGGAGCTCAGAGATTCTAAGGCTTATTTGGGGTAAAGGTAGGGCATTGAGCTAAGGTTTGTGTAGGATCCTAATTTCCAGTTGAAATTAATCTATCTCTTATCAAGCTTTTTTTTTTTTTTTTACACATGAAGCCTTGTGATTTAATTTTCTGAGTTTACTGAGTCTACACAGAGTTTGCTGAGATCAGAAGCATTTCCCCCTTTAAGACAGATATTGTCTTTGAGGTTTAGAGACTAATGGCAGATGCACTATTTATTGTCCAGCCAATAATGTGTACTCTCAGGGGAATCATAGGTGCTTGTGATTATGGCTTTGGAATTGGATAATAAGAGCAAGCTGTTAAGGAGAATTTCCCAGTGGAGAGCTCTGTGGCCACACCTGGAATAGCAGCCCAAATGCCAGCCTGCTGAGGAAGGGATCAAACCTCCACCAGAGAGGGCTATGCAAAAATTCCAATAGCCATTCAACCTTACCTGGCTCCATTCTCTACCCTCCAGGGCCTGGAGACCAATGCAGGTGGATGGGAGTGGAGTAATAGCGATGTGCTGGATTACACTGCCTGGGAGAAACACCCCGCCAGCATTTCAAAACCTGACTATTGTGGGACCTTGTCAGGAAGCTCAGGTAAGAGACAGTGGAGCTCCCTTTTTGCCAGCCTTTCCATCCCCTTTTCCCCTGTTTATGGGTCTGAACTTCAGGGAATCCTTCTTAACTAGGAAAGGCAATCTTTTTTTTGTCTTCTTCCATCTCCTCTCATCTCTCCTTTCTTTGGGTCTCCTTCCCCTCAAGTGGGACCTTGGTGGAGATGAGAGAGGGGTTTTGAATCCTAGGCCAGGGTCTGGGCTGCCTCTCTGTGGATAACAAACTCCACCAGCCCCATTCACTTTAGTTTTTTTTTTTTCTCTCTCTCTCTCCAGGATATCTGTCATGGAAAGATTATGACTGTAAAAAGGAGTTACCCTATATCTGCAAGTTCAAGGGTTAGGTCAGGTGAAAACCAATGACCTGAGTTTCATAAATAGCTCGTCATGGATATGGGACCAAGTGAGAAGATTCATCCAGGAAGATAATATTCTTCCCATACTTCAAACCTGACCACCTCATTCTGACCTTCCATCCTCCCCACCCTCTTTTCAGGCTTTGTACAGAATTATGTAACATGAATTTTGAAAGCGCAATAATAAAAATTTAGTCTGTTATTTCCTGTTTTGTGTGCTTCATTCTCACTGAAGACAGAGAAGAAGAGGTAATGGGTGGGAGAGGAGACTTTGTGGGTTTTATTTCTGCCCAATTTCACCCCATCCCTGTAAAAATGACTACATATACATCCTATGTTTGTGATGAAGTGTGTCGGCCCTGCACATGTAGGATCTAGGTGTCATATAAAGACATTACTCACTCACAGCCCTACTGCTCACACATTCCCAAAGGGCAGTTGGAATAACACAACCAGACCTTGTACTTCCTGTACTTATTAGATGAAGCAACTGGTTTATTAATTTTTTAAAGTTCTTTTAAATTAAAAATTCTGATCACTCATGAAATTACAATGAATAAATACAAAAACCCAATCAAAGTGTAATATGCTAATGATATGCTAAGTCTGCTCAACCGCTCACTATGATGTGCACTGACCACCAGGGGGCAGACGTTCCAATCAGTAGGTTAGCTTACTGCTGGGGTCTGGCCAATCAGGACTGAGCAAGGTAGGCAGGACATGCCTGAAGCCCTCCTGTGGTCCCTCCCCAGCTGGCCAACCTCCCACGTCCCTCCCTGGGCCCCAATCATGCACCAGCGGGGTCCCTTAGCCTGGCCTGTGCCCTCTCACAATCTGGGACCCATTGGGGGATGTTGGAGAGCCTGTTTAGGCCTGATCCCACAGGCCAGGCACTGGTGCACAAATTTGTGCACCAGGCCTCTAGTTTCATATAAAGGGCAATAAAAAATTAAAAATGTTTTAATAGTTAAAAATTCCATTTTTAAAAACATTTATCTTACCTGAATGAAGACAAGCCCAACTTTTTATGATTTGTATATTTCAAGACCACTATTCTGCTTTCCACCTTATCACTGGCCCTCCCTGCCCACATGCTTCTACTGTGGAAAAAAATATATACTTGGACAGTTTCTTAATATGAAAAAGAAATTTTTATATGAGCACACAAAAAAAGTTACTCATTTGGACCAAGAACACTACAACAGTGTCATAACAGGTATTGCTTCTCAAATAAATAGATGAGATAAATGCAGCATCATTATTTTCGTTGATGTTTGTTAAATTTATTTTGCTTTTTCTAAGGTAGACTGCCTGGCCTAAAAACCCATTTAGAATTTTTGCTAGAAACACTTTTCCATCAGATTAAATAAGTTATGTTTGTGTGATGCCATGGGTCTTAATTTTCTGCCCTGGTTAAATTCATTAAATGGGTTAGAAATGTTCACAGTGATTGTGCTTGTGCCGGTTCCTATTTTAGTTTGAGTTCTCCCTTTAATGGCAGGTGAGCCATCAAAGCTGTGGACAGAACGTCGGCCTGTGGACTGAAGGGTCCCAGGTTCGATTGCGGTCAAGGGCATGTACCTTCGTTGTGGGCACATCCCCAGTTGGGAGTGTGCAGGAGGCAGCTGATTGATGTTTCTCTCTCATAATATTTCTAACTCTCTATGCCTTTCCATTCCTCTCTGTAAAAAAAAAATCAATAAAATATATATTTTTTTAAAAAGATAGGACACTTGTATTTGCAAGTAAGAAAGATCCCAATATAATTTGGCCTTAGAATAAAAGTACTTACTGGATTGTATATATATATGGTCCACATGTCATTTATCCGTGGTTCTCTTGTCTGAGCTCTTTTATCTGCATGCTTTATCTCTCTCCTGGTTTCCTTTTATAGCTCAAGATAGTTGCCAGCAGCCGCTGGGGCTACTGATTTCTCATCAATATCAGAAAGGAAAATCCTGAGCTTTCCTTTTTTTAGACAAACCAGAGCAAATCTCTACTGCCAGGTGAATGTCATGAGCTGGTGCTTGAAGTCTGAATTACGGCACATCTTTAAACCATTATTGGAGCACAAAGTCCATACTATCCTGGTTGTGTCACATGAGTTATAAACTTACTAGGATATTGGAGTGTAATATTAGCAACTAAACCTCAGGAAGGTTTACTCTTAGAAGGACAAAGGGAGTGGCTTTTCTTAGTGGAACACCTGAGTGCTATTAGGGAAAATAATAATTAAACCACACACACATTCAGACTGAGAATTAGAAGTATAGTGGTCCCCCCTTACCCACAGGGCATATGTTCCAAAACCCCCAGTGGATGCCTGAGACTGTAGATAGTACCAAACCCTGTAGGTACTGTATTTGTTTCCTATACATACATATCTATGATAAAGTTTAATTTATAAATTAGGGACTAACAACAGTAGAGATTGGTGTTGCAAGAGATTAACAACAATAACTAATAGTAAAATAGAACAATTATAAAATATACAGTAATAAAAGTTACATAAATGTGGCCATTAAGTGAAATTAGGGTTACTTCAACACAAGCACTGAGACATTGAGAAGATGGACCTGATAACCAAGTTGGATACTCAGTGAACGGTGGGCAGTGAGCACATGGCGTGGATGCGCTGCACAAAGGGATACTTCCCATCCTGGGCTGGATGCCGTGGGATGGCATGAGATCTCATCACACTGCTCAGTAAGGGGTGCGATTTAAATTTTATGAATTGCTTATTTCTGGAATTTTGTATTTAATAGTTTTTCAGACCATGATTGACCATGGGTAACAGAAACCTTAGACAGAGGAACTGTGGGTAAAGAAAGGGGAAACTACTGGACATAAAACTTGACATTATAATCAATTGGGAGTAAAGGATATGAAAAATGATGTAAGCCTTTTATTTGTCTGGAAATCAGAAATTATCATATTACTATTCGAAGAAATAAAAATATAGGCATGTCCAGAGTGGGGCGACACTCCAAATTTGGCAAACTTCAAGTCAAGAATCACTCACTTTCTTATGTTAGTTTGCTATTGACACCTGACTTCATAAAATACCGTTCTTCCAGTTTTTCTTGTACCTTTGGTTGTACTTTTTAGGTTCTCCTCACCAACTTACTTTGTGAATGGTCCTTTGTGCTTTTCCTTTGCCCAGATAATTATGTAACTATGACGCGGTTATTCTCATCACTGTCTCCTAAGGATGTGTTAGGTCCTGTGATATTTAACTTACCTGGAACTACTACAAGGCCACCTACCATTCATGTTCTGGGTCTATAAACCAATTGGCTGCTCAGCAACTTCTTAAAATGTCAGAAAGTCATAACCAGGTTTTTGCTGCCAGCCATTTCCTGAGAAAGAAATACTTTCTGACTCTAAGTGAAAACAATATGCAACATCATTGCAAACAATCATTAGAATTTTAAATAATTTATTTAGAAGAATATTTATGCCCTGCCAGTGTGGCTCAGTGTGGTTGGAGCATCATCCTGCACACCAAAAGGGCGCTGGTTCAATTCCAGGTCAGAGCGTATACCCAGGCTTTGGGTTCAATCCCAGTCAGGAGTGTATGGGAGGCAACTAATTGATGTTTCTCTCTCCCTTTCTCTCCCTTCCCCTCTTTAAAAATCAATAAACATGCCGAACCGGTTTGGCTCAGTGGATAGAGCGTCAGCCTGCGGACTGAAAGGTCCCAGGTTCGATTCAGGTCAAGGGCATGTACCTTGGTTGCGGGCACATCTCCAGTGGGGAGTGTGCAGGAGGCAGCTGATCGATGTTTCTCTCTCATTGATGTTTCTAACTCTCTATCTCTCTCCCTTCCTCTCTGTAAAAAATCAATAAAATATATTTAAAAAAATAATAATAATATTTATTCCTATATTTTCTAAAATTAAAATAATAAACATTCAACAAACTAGATATGTTTAATAAATTGCTTTACAGCTATTGAATTGAATAGTAACCATTATAAATTATACTGAAACGTCTCACAGTTGTTCAATTATAAAATGTACATGTGGGAGGAGGAGGCAATAAAGGCCCACCTTTGTCAGGGTGGAAGGGGAAGTTTTATCATAAACAGGGTCCAAGAGAGAAGCAGAGCTCAAATCATAGCGGAGCAAGCGAGCCGAGCAAACAGGATACTGGGAGAGAGACGCAGGAGCTGTGAGCTCAGAGAGACTCCCCGTGTGGGAAGGGGCTCTTTCCGGCAGAGGCTGGCATGGCCCTGCATAAGCCACCCTCCCCACAGTCTGTACCGGCTGACCTTCAGGCAAAGGTGGAGTTTATGATTTCCTAGGTACAGGCAGGTGTCCAGCTCCCATGTCCCTGAGGCAGAGGGTGTGAGAACCGGATCTTTTCATAGAGGCTTTGGCCCAGAAGGGGATGAAGGGAACCAGGCCCGAGAATAATGGAAGTATTTGGGGAGAGATTTATGGAAGGAAAAAGCAGAAAAGAATAGACAGAATATTCCTTCTACTGACAGCCCATTTCCCCTCCTGATTCTTTTTTCCCAAACTCATGAAAATGACCAGTACTTACGTATGTAGAATCTGGTGGTAACAGGTGAGGATGATAAAAAAGTAATAATGAAATAAAACATAATAATAATTCTTCCAATTGAACCCAACCATAAGTATTTTCCAAAAATCTGACTTCAGTATAACAATTTTACCTGTGAGCTTATATCACATCATTTAAAACTTTTAAAAATATGATAAAGTAGGTGCCAATCCCAACCTCACAATCAATTCTCTAAAACAGATAAACATCCATATAAATAAGAAACTATCATGTTTAAATGGAAATTTTTTTAACCTTGACTTCCTGATTGGCAGACTCTTAAAGGGTTTGTTAAAAGCTTTTCTTTATCTGTATGAGGTACTGTGACCCAGCGATGCCTCTCTTTACACCAGCAACATCTGTCACCTTTGTTGACCCTTAGTATTCTTTTTAAAGAACATGTGATTCTGATATTTTATCAGTTGTGTTTGAATGTAACTTGAGGCTTATCCCACTTGTAATTGTACTAAAAGATTTATGTGGAGATTTGGAAATGCATATGCAAAACTTTTGTAGATAAACTTTGGCTGAAAAATGTTGCACTGAGGGATAGACACATACTACGGAGTCTGGTTAATTAAAAACTAAGAGGTTTTCTATCAAGAAAATGTTAACCAGAGATGCTATGTGCAG